TCACCCTTATTCCTCGTGTTGCGGCGTACAACACGATCCCAACATATCAGTACCAATCACAACACAAGAACATGTGTTTTTACAATTTAACTTAAAACCTTCCATAACATTTATATCTTAAATCATAATAACAGGGAGTCTATACCATTACGAAACTTCAACAGTTAAAACTACTCAGCGAGACCAACCAAAGTATACTATGAAGCTCCAACAACCAACTCCAACCAACGTGGAAATAAAATGAAACTATGAAACAATTTGTACTTCAATAGAGGAAACAACAGTTAATATGAAGTAATTAGACATGAAAATAATTATGAGCAAGTAGCAATTAAGAAAAGAAACAGTATATTAGAAAACGAGGAAGGGAACAGGCTAGAATGATAGTTTGGTGACGCATAGGTACTCGTCACCACACCTATACGCTACGCACATGTAAATTCACATAGCAAATTAAGTCGGGGATCCCTAATCCCTCAAGTCAAAGTTAGACCAAACACTTACCTCAAGGCAACGGGTATTTTAATGCTCAACCCCCGTTTTACCTCTCGATTCCACCACCAATCCACTCGTATCTAGTCATAATTAACTTAATAACATCAATAAACACTAAAGAGATCAATTCCAATGCATAATTATAGGTTTCCCAATATTTTTCCCAAAAAGTCAAAACCCGACCCTGGGCCCGCTTGGTCCAAACTCGAAATTCAGATCAAAACTCAATTACCCATTCACCCCCGAGCCCGGATATACTGGTTTTGGAATCCGGCCTCAAATTGAGGTCCAGATCCCCAAGTTTCGAAATTCCAAAACCCTACCCAAACACCCAATTTTCTCATGGAAATCCCTACATTTTGTGATAAAATCTTATAAAAAGTTCAAATAGATTGAAAGATAAGAGTTAGAAATCGTTTACCTATGATTTGGAGAAGTTTGGGTCTTTGAAAAATCGCCTATAGAGGTTTAGGGTTCGAGAGAATTGAAAAATTGGTGAAAAATCCCATCTAAGTCCCAACTTAACAGCTGCAGATGTTTCAATTGCGACTAGGGCTTCACATTTACGAAACTCGCAATTGCGATAAAGGCATCGCAAATGCGAACCTTCCGCATTTGTGTTGCTGTCACAAATGCGAACCATTTGGTCGCAAATGCGAAATCCCCCCTGACTTCTTCGCAAATGCGAAGAATATGTTCGCAATTGCGAACTATGCCGGCCCAGGTCTCTTTCGCAATTGCGGTGGAGACCTCGCAATTGCAAAGTCTGTGAAGCTCGCAAATTCGAAGCCTGATCTCGCAACTGCAAGATTAGAGGACTGCAACTCAGCTGAAGTATACCAGCAATTCCCTAAGTTCAAAAATCACTCCGTAGCCTATCCAAAACTCACCCAAACTCTCGGGGCTCCAAACCAAACATGCACACAAGTCTTAAAATATTATACAAACTTGTTCGCGCGATCAAATTGCCAAAATAACATCTAGAACATGAATTCAACACCAAAACTCATGAAATTTCAAGATAGTTTTAAACTTCCTATTTACTCAACCAATGGTCCGAATCACGTCAAATTACTTTCGTTTTCAACCAAATTTCACAAATAACGTTTAAATATTATAACGGACATGTACCGGGATCCGAAACCAAAATACGGGCCCGATACCAACAAGTTCACACATTGTTCAATTTCCATAAACTATTATATTTTCAATTAAATAATTTTCTTCAAAAATTCATTTCTCGGGCTAGGGACCTCGAAATTCGATTTCGGACATACACCCAAGTCCCACATTTTACTACGGACCCTCCGGGACAGTCGGAACACGGGTCCGAATCAGTTTACCCAAAATGTTGATCGAATTCAACTAAAACCATCTTTTTAAACTAGAAATCATCTTTTCTTAGGTTTTACACACAAAAGCTTTCCGATATCGCGCCAGGACCGTGCACGCAAATCGAGAAGAGATAAAAGGAGGTTTTCAAGACCTCAGAACACGAAACGGATTCTAAAACAAAAGATGATCTTTTGCGTCATCACAATAGTATTGTATGTACATAGTTGGTTCAAATGAATTTGAAATGGAATCTTGATTTTAAGACTTTTTTTTTCCCAAAAGAGTTTGGTTAAATATTTTGACAAGTTTAACAAAATGCCACAGTTATCAACGAAACCAAAACATTAGAGCTAGTCAAACTCTCAACCTATGACCTTTATTTTCTCTTTGATTTGATTCTTGAAATTTGTGTGAAATGCTAAAGAAAAATGTGAAAAATGAAAAGGAAACGTAAATCATATAAATTTGACACACTTATTATACTTTGTTTTATACGAATAGTTATACTTCTTGGTTATTCCAAAACAACTGTAATACTTCTATGATTAAACTCTGATATATTATATAAAAAAATAATTTATTATATTAAAAGTTCTTTTTTAAATTTTATGTCCAATCAAAAAAGGAAAAAGGCCTAAATATACCATTGTACTTAACGATATGGTCTATCCATGCCACTCATTAATAGATGGGCCTATTTGTGCCATTGTCGTTACACCATTGGCCTATCTATGCTACTATTATTAACGGAAAACTCATCCGGTATTAAAAAATAAAAATCTAATTTTTTTTATTACTCCCTCTGGTCCATAATAAATGAACAATTTATTTTTTATTTTGGTCCAAAATGAGTGTCCATTTATATAATCAAGAAAAGGTTCAATTTATTTTTCCAAAATTACTCTTATATACGTATCCCTAAATTGTCATTTACTCCTCACATTTGAGAAGAAAAGTAAGTGCTACTATAAACATGGTGCAACATTTAATGAAGGGTAGTTTAGTCACACTAACTATTTTTGTCTAGAATTTAGTATTTCCTTAATTGGTGTGCCTAAAGCAAATTGGTCACTTATTGTGGATCGAAGGGAGTACTAATTTTGACACGGGTCAACTACCTAGACCACCACATAACTTGACCCCACTTCCCACTCTAACCCAAGTTACCCAACTAAACTAATCCCATTTTTTTTGTTACCCGATATTAATTCAATTGGAGTTTAGCATAAAACACAATCACAATTAAATCTAAAACTAATACAGTACAATAAATATTATTTTGGCCAAAACTCCTAAAGTTAATCAATCATCCTAGAGTAATACATCATGATTAAACTATATAAAAAACTTTTTACAAACTTTTGGGGGCAATTAATATCGGGTAACAAAAAAAATGGGATTGGGTTAGCTGGGTAACTGGGGTTAGAGTGGGAAGTGGGGTCAAGTTATATGGTGGTCTAGGTAGTTGACACGTGTCAAAATTTGTAATAAAAAGCATATTTTCATTTTTTTTAATACCGGATGAGTTTTCCGTTAATAATAGTGGCATATATAGGCCAATAGTATAACAATAATGGCACCAATAGACCTGACTATTAACGAGTGGCATGGATAAGCCATTTCGTTATGTACAATGGCATATTTAGGCCTTTTCCCATCAAAAAAATTATATAAAAGGAAACAAAGTAAAAATCATGAAATCGTATAATTTTGACATGCCAAATATATAGAGAGAATTGCCCGCAAGGTTTCGGGGATCGATTCCCCTCACCAGTAACCTCATCGGTCAGAACTCGTTGTATCGGACTTTTCTAATGTTGTTTGCATTTCTTGTGTGGTTTAAAAGTTATTACATAGTAAACAGGTTACTCAGTGTGCATCCAAGGATAGCGGCTACAAATTTTGTGGGAATTTTCCACCAAAAAAAAAGTAAATTGGTAATCATTAATGAGCTAAAAATGGACATCGTGAACTTAGATACTATCACATCAGTAATCAGTAATTAATATTATAAAAGGCTCTATATTTTTTTAGAGGAGACAATCAAATAAATAATTGGAGTTTCAACAGTTGTAATCCATTTTTGGGTAATATGTGGGACCTCTTTACCTGCTTTTTTTTGTGGGGGTGGGGTGCCAGTGGTAGGGGGTAGCTAACTATATATGAAGTGCAAATGAGAGCAGAAAAAAATGAACTTTAATTTGGAATTAGGAAGTGACCATTTAAGAGTAAGTCCCTTCATTTCTTTCTTCAGTTTCTTCTTAGTTTCTTATCATTCTCTTTAATCTCTTCTAATTTTACATTATGTTGTTTTTGTGGACCAATCTTTACAAGTAAATATAATCCAATTTTCCATGCAAGTTACTATGCTCATAAAATTTATGGTATCAAAAAAAAATATCAAGACTTTTCCATCTTTAGTTTCATTATTATTTGTAAAGTTGCTGAGTTCGAGTGAAATAGCATCTTCCAAACATGCAGGGTACAATAGATCCTTATGGTTTGGTCCGGTCGGGCCCTTTCTCGTACCACATATAGTGGGAGCTAGCTCACCGGGCTGCACTTTGTGATCAATTGGTTTTTATGATCAGATCAAGTTCCAGCTTGTATATTTCCTCTTGTACTTTGTTCTTATATGAAGACAGCTTTTAAATTTTAGTTGACCTTTAGTTCTATTTTATCACTGCATGCCAAAAATGATTTCTTTATTTCCAAATCATGACCCTTCAAAAAAGTTCCATTTTTTCCTGAATTTTATACTATATCTCTTTTTCTCTGAATTTAAAGATATGGTTTTTATTTGTTCATGAATTTACAAGATTGCTTTATCTCTACAATACCTTAGGTATTCTTGTTTGTCATTGTTGTTGTTTTATATCATTCTGGTTTCTGATTGAGGCCCTTCAGCCATTACAGCTAACTACCTAATGTTTACTTAATTCATTCTGTGGTTTTTAATGGTTTTGACTAATTTTCCAGTATTTATTTTATAGAGTACTTTTGCTGACTTCTTGTTTTACTGTTTCAATCCTGAGATATTTCCTCATTTTCTTGATATGGGGGCTATCAAAAAGTGAAAATCATGCTTGAACTATACGCGGGGCAGACCTATGCTATAGGGAGAGGGGTCACCTGCACCCGTAAAGTTTGGTAAAAAATTCGTGTATATACTTACATGTCTTTAGAAAGTAGTGATATATTAGTAATGGACACCTTATATATAAAGTAGATTTTGGTTGAATCAAAAAGTAGACCATCGAATCCTGGGTCCACCTCTAACTATAGCATAGTCTTAATCAGATCCTCCAAAGGTAATTCCAAACACCAATATTTGGTTTTCCAAAATATCTTTTTAGCTTCAATCAGTTAGCTTTCACATGGGTGAGTTTAGATAGAGTTTGCCTAACAGTCAACATCTAATTATTTGTCTTAAATGTGAATAGTTATGTATCTTTGATATGTAGGATTCACCAAATAGGTCATTTAGCCTTTAGTTCTTTCAGGGAATGCATTGAAAATTTGATTTTACTATTTTTTGGCATGTAAGGTAATGAATAATTGATACTTTGCTGCTTGACAAAATACAAGAATAGTAAGGTTTGTTTGTCTATAACTAAAGTGTCTTTCTTGGTGTTTTTGAATGCTATAATCTTGCAGTTTGTTGATGTTGGAATTTGAACTGATCTTGCAGTTTTGGTTGGTATATGCAAAGGAGTATTTTTCTTGGAGTTGTGAATTTAGTCTTGAGATATGGGTGGATGTGTTTCGAGTCCGACTAAGAGGATAAAGTTAAAGACAAAGTACATTCCCAAGTCTCGTAGATTTCGAAGAAAGGCGCCATCTTCTGTTTCCGTTGCACCTATAGAGCAACTTACTGGTGTGAGAAACTATGTAAGAGAAGTTGATGTTGGTGAGTTTGTCACAATAGGCTACGAGAGCAGGGCGGCACCTATTGGTGGAGGGGATTGTGTGTTAAATCCAGCATTTCATCTCTCCCAAAACTATCATCATGTCAATGTAACTGGTACGGATACTTCTAATAAGCCTTAATTTTCTTGAAATAGTTGAAATTCTTGCTCAGCAGTCATTGTTTCACTTTGATCCAAGCAAATGAAGGAACTTTTAGCAGCCCTTTAATTTGGTTGGAGTTAGATACATTAAAAGCTATGTTGCTCGGACTCTCCAAAAATGTCAGCGGACTAAAATAGATTAAAAGTGTTTAGTTTCAGAGGAAATCTTTAATTTGCAGGAATAAGCCAAGAGGAAGCGTGGTTTGACTCTTTCAGTGTCCTTGAATCTGATTCAGATGAAGACTTCACTAGTGTTCTTGGGGGTAATCTATAAATCCTAATCCAAATTCTAACAGTAACCAAAAGAAGCTATTTCTGAGATCTCTTTGTAATTTTACTTCCAGAAATTTGCCCTTCACTTATCGTTGCTGCTGGGAGCGCATTAGATCATCAAAGTCAAACCGAAAGCACGTCACACTTCGATCATACCATCAAGAACAATGATATATTATGTGTAAGTTACTCTAGCTTTTGTGAAGGTCAAAATGAAATGTTTTTCTCATGTCTTTGTTAAGGCTTCCAAGTCAATGATCCGTTTCTCGATACTTAATTCAGGTAGATGGAAATTTTACTAAGCGGAACAATATTGTAGAGGATCCAATTTTGACATCTCAAAGAAGGAAGTTATCAGTTGTAACACTTGCTGTTAATAAGAAACTGCATGATGGGGACACGACGACTGAGTTTTGTGAGTGTCACTGCAAATAATAATACATACTAATTCATCTAGATATTCAGATTTGTCTTGATCACATAAATAGTATACTGTCAAAATCTAAAGGACTTTATAAAATAACAGGTTCTTCAAGGAGATTATTGTATCGTCCAAGAGCAGGATTTGTTGTTCCGCATTACAGTGATATGAAACCGAGTCAAGGATGTTGGAGTCGCATTGCACCTTCCGTATTTAAGCTTCGTGGCATGAATTATTTCAGGCATGTTTGAGTTGCGTACAATGAGATTTGCTAGAGTATCTTGTTTCGCTTTACATTCAAGCTGATAAGACTTCTGTATTTCTCAAATGCAGGGATAAAAGGAAATATCCTGCCCCTAATTATTGCCCTTACGTACCTATTGGCGTTGATTTATTTGTTTGTCCGCGGAAGATATCTCACATTGCACGGCATCTTGAGCTTCCCTTTGTAGAGCCACATGACAAAGTTCCATCGCTGCTCATCGTCAATATACAGGTCCTCTTGCAATGCATAAATTCCTTAGTAAATCAGACTTGCATTTTTTACCTTTTCTTGAAACTGTCATACATTTATTCTATTTAGTTGGGATTAACTACTTGAACTAAGGCTTCATGTGGATTTTATGGGATTTTTGGAAAATGACTTGTTATTGTTATTTTTATTGGACTGAGACGGGCTTACTAGAGCGACATGACACTGAAAATTCATCACGACACGACATGATCCGGGGAAGGACCGGATCATAAGGTTCTACCGTATGCAGCCTTATCCTGCATTTCTGCAAGAGGCTGCTTCCACGGGTCGAACCCCTGACCTCCTAGTCAAATGAAAATAACTTTACCAGTTACGCCAAAGCTCCCCTTCTTACTAGAGCGACATGACACTGAAAATTCATATAGGATTGAGGTGGAGTGTTGTTGTTGTTGTTTTCGTGAAAATAACTTACAAAAATTCCGGATTTATTGTCGCAGTTGCCTAGTTATCCTGCTTCAATGTTCCTTGGGGAAAATGATGGAGAGGGAATGAGCCTTGTACTATATTTCAAAGTATCAGAAAATTTTGAAAAAGAGATTTCTCCACTATTTCAAGACAGCATAAAGGTAATAGCCTGTTTTTTATTTATACTTACCTTTATATGAATACTACTTTTTTTTATCTTGCATACATGAATAAATCATTTTCTACCGATTTATATTGCAGAGATTAGTAATGGATGAAACGGAAACTGTAAAAGGTTTTGCAAAGGAATCAATAGTTCCTTTCAGAGAAAGACTAAAAATCATGGTCGGCGTAGCCAATCCTGAAGATCTTCATTTAAATCCCGCGGAGAAAAAACTTTTACATGCGTATAATGAAAAACCAGTGCTTTCACGTCCTCAACATGCTTTTTACGAGGTAATGTTTACAAATTCTAAAATCCTTTCCTCTCTGAGATCTCATAGATGAATATTGTCAAATTATTTCTTGAATGCTGGCTTATACAGATACTTCAAAGATATAGTGAAACTTCAGCTACTAGTAGCTAGATTAAAGAATTGAAATGAGATATACTTACTAAAGAAGTTGCACATTTGATATACCTTTTGTTGTCTCCTATAATCAGAGGCGGACCTAATATAACCTATGTGTTATATTGAGGGGTCACTGGACCCAGTAAACTTCAGCAGAAGTCTTGTATATGTATATGTGTATACCTTAAAAATTGTTAAATTAAATCACTTGTTACCCTGAATGCTAAAAGCTTTTAGAGGGCGCTGATTGAACAGAGTATATGTGCCCCCGTCGCGTTAAAGTTTTGGGTCCGCCTCTGATTATAAGTTCATTTTCTTACTTTTCTTAAATAATCTCTTTATCATTATCTTGTGCAGGGAGGCAACTACTTTGAGATAGACCTGGATGTTCATCGATTCAGCTACATTTCCAGGAAAGGATTTGATGCGTTCCGAGAACGACTGAAACATGGAATTCTTGATCTTGGATTAACAATTCAGGTTTAGTTATTTCGAGCATCATTTTCCTATGCTCTAAAGTTACATTTTTTCCGCCCTCCTATAAAAGATCACAAGTTTCATTCCCCACATTGCGAACTCTTTTGTTATCTATAGGTCACGGGTTTGAGCCGTGGAATCAACCACTGATGCAGGGTAGGCTGCCTACATCACACCCCTTGGGGTGCGGCCCTTCTCTTGAACCTGCGTGAGTGCGGGATGCTTCGTGCACCGGGCTGCCCTTTTTTTATTCGGGCTACATCACTAAGTTTCATGTTTGGAGGAACATGAACTCTGAATTCTTATACAAACAGTTTTTTGCACTACTCTGCATGTTATGTAATTGATCTGAGATATATTTGGATAATTGTAGGCACAGAAGCAAGAGGAGCTGCCAGAGAGAGTTTTGTGCTGTGTTCGATTGAACAAAATCGATTTTGTAAATCGTGGCCAGATACCTCAGCTTATAACTCCTGTTGATAACTGAAATGATTGAGAGCTAGGCTAATAGTTGTAAATTTTTTGCTACAAGAGAGAGAGAATGGGTTCTGAAATGTAGCGATCACACCAATTTTATTTGTATCAAGAGTGACAAAATGTGAAGAAGTTTAGAAACTTTTCAACGAAATCTGACAAAATTGAAAGTTGAATTTTAATTTCTCCAATGTATAAAGGTCCACATCAACTTTAAAGGAAAGTCCCTCTTGGTTACCCTCAAATGGTCCTCAATTAAACACGCAGTGTATCTGCTTCAGAGGGAAATGTGATGAAGCCTAAATTATGATGTTAGTTGTTGTATCAAGGAAGAGGCAAACCCGAAAATAAAAAAATAAAGAACACCAAATTTTAACGTGAAAAACTCCTCAAATTGAAGGTAAAAATCACGGGATCACCAAGATCCGAAAAACTCCACTATAAGAGGGTTACAAAACCCTCCTTTAGACTTGAAGCAAATTCGATCCTATCACTATAAAAAATAATGAGAATCATAAATTCATAACAGAAAAATAAATAAATAACAAATAATTCAATTCATAACAGAAAGAAGATTGTCCAAAAACTTCATGTAAATTCAGATGAAAGGCCTAACTATAAAGATTACAAGGTAGAGGGATTGGCGTTAAATGCAAAAATAGTGTAGTCATTCACTGTGCTAGTTCAAATGCAGCAATAAACAGCCAATACATGTTGGAATACAAAAGGATTTACACAAAGAATGCATACAGAAATAACACAGCTAACTCTGTGCTCTTTTTGATAACATTTACAAACAATTCATATTCAAACCACTCCTTCCTGACCTATTATTTCGTGACAACGCAACTTCTGTAACATTTCTGTTTCATGATTGTTGGGGGAGACCAACATCAACATTGCAAACGCGAGAAATAGAACCATTCAAAAATAAGTTACAGCCCTCTACATGGCCAAAGTCTTCCCTTGCTTCCCTGTTGATTACCATGCTGGAATGATGTGTTCATAAATCATGTAATTTGTTCTTCTTTGAAACGTAGAAGTGCTATAGGTTGTTGTTCATTGTTTGGAAAGTTTGTTCTTCGCATTGCAGCTGGTTTATCAACTACAGGGTTGTGTGGCCTCAATTGTGACATAGAGTTATTAGTGGTATTGTGGCTACTGTTCCTGGCTGCAGGCACATCATGATTATGTTTACCCTCGTATGTTGTTATGACTGCTTTAGGGTCAGTTGCCGCCCTTTCGACATGCTTTCTTACGTTACATCCCTGGCTCGTACATTTGTAATAGCTTCTGCAGAAAATAACAAAGCATGTAAAAATTATGGCAAGCAAAATAACCACAAAGCAGCCGGCTTTGAAACAAAGACTTCTAAATAAATACTGCAAAAAGAACGTCTCAACCAGCAAGACTCTGACACTGGTGGTTAAATGCAACGAGAGTCAAAAGCTGGCAAGATTATTGTCAATATGGTAAACATAAAAGGAAGGTAAATGTAAACTGGATTTTTCTACAGCTGATACCTATATTTTTAGGGGCCGTTTGGTTTGAAGACACGTTATGCTGGGATTAGTTATACATGCATTAGTTATACTGATATTAGTTATCCTGGTATTATTTCTTATTGACTGGTATATCCTGAGATTTTCAATTTTACTGCATTATCCTGGGATAACTTATCTGGTTACTATTCCACCCTCTGGCGGGTATAAGTTATCCCGGTACTATTTTTAATCCTAAAATAATTTATCCCAGGATTAGTAACCAAATAAGGGATAAGGCAACTATATTTTTATCCTAGAATTATTTTCGGTTATCCATCATACCAAACGACCCCTTAAGGTTCACTTCAACACAACACTCTTAAAACTAGCTGAACAATGGATAGATGATATCACGTCACTGACAATAAAGGAGTAAAATAGATGGACATTTTACCTTGGATAAGGGTTTCCTTTAACAATCTTTTGGCCATACTTTCGCCACCTATAACCATCATCCAAAAGATCAACTTCACTGGTTGTTTGAACGATGATCCTAGGTTCTGTAACTGTCCGGTGAGAACAAGCTGCCTCTGAAGTCTGTACTTCTACAGCCCTGCAAAGTACAGACATGTTAGGATAGAGAAGAATAGCTGTCAAAATAGACGTGGCAGCAAAAGCAATTACTATGCAATAGTGCTAAGGGTGAAGGAAGATACCTCCGCTTTGATTCCCGTTCATCAATGTCTCTTCCATCCACTCTAGTCTCAGCATCACCCACTTCCTCGCTGTCACTTGATCCGGAGATCTGGTCATGTGTTGCTTGGCTGGATTCATGATCTTTCATTCTTAACGAATAGGATGTTTCGCCCTCCTTGGGTTTGTTAAAATTTCCAGTCAGACCCTCAGTGCTGGGCTCATAGGACCCTTGAGAATTATAATTTCCATTTGGATTTCCACTTTCTTTTGAACGCTTACTAGATTGAGGCGGCTGATGGTTGTGCTGGCCCTTATATATAATCTCTGTCACCTGGCCATCTAGGGAGCGCTCAACCTTCTTCTTGACTGGACAATTTGAATGTGTACACTTGTAATAGCTTCGTGGATATTCACTTCCCTTGACCTGCTTCTGCCCATACTTTCGCCAGTTGTAGCCATCATCAGCAGGTTTGTCAACAGCAAAGGAAGCAGGTTCTGACCTCTGATCAGATAAGGAAACATCTGATGACTCTTTCACGATGTTAGGATTTAATGCAGGAGGAGGTATCTGTTGGTTTGCTGCTGCGTTTGATGCTAAGGACTGGAACTGTGACAATGACGTTGCAGCTGCTGTTAAAGAAGACGGATAGTCGGGCCGAATGTGCATTTGAGACTGAGCCTGGGCTGCCTGAGTTGTAAATTGAGCAAGCACTTGCTGATGTGACATTCCAAAGGGGCCCTGTCAAATGAAGATGCATAACTAACTTGAGAGAAGCAAATTCAAATTAAACGAATTACTTTATCACTTTACATGTAGCAACAACTCATTAACAATATGTTCTGCTCATGATTTAGTTGCTAGTCAAGAAGAAGCGGGAGGTGCAGAGTGTCAAGAATACCAGAGAGAACAACAACTATTGTACATGTGAATCTATCTGCAGAAAGATGTTCCTCCCAATTAGTCTAAGTAACCAAGTACCAATAAATGTATCCTAAGAAGATTCAGGGTCAAAACATCATATGTTATCTCAAACCTCCATGGTCTGTTTCGTAAGGTATCAAACATCACCTAAACTTCAATGACATTGCCATTATTACTCTGGGAAGAAGCACAAAGGCAAGCTTCAGTAATTGTTATTTAGCAAGATGAAGTTCTCCTATGAGAGACAATTCTCTCTTGTAGATTAAAGAGGGAGTTGCAAAAAAAAAAAAAAAAAAAAAAAAAAAAAAAAAAAATCTAAACCTTATCACAGACATCAGAACAGGTCTTGAGACTCTTGACAACTTTCAATCTAGGGTTAATTCATTCTTCCAAGAGAGGAGTTGATTATAAATATCAGAGAAGAGATACGTGCAGGATATATTATTATATTAATCTATATCCGTTTCAATGGCAATTGTTAAAAGAATAGACAATCCATTCAACTATGCAACAAGTAATAGGATAAATGAAGAATAGCATACTGACATCCCAAGTACAATTCTCATCAGAAAGGATTGTAAAAGCCCGTACCACCCGACGTTGTCTTTGGCATGGACATAAGCTTTCCAATTAGCAACAATAAGAATGGTTCCAAATGTCAAAATTCCCTCCCTTCTTCCAAACTATTGGAGAAAGAAATTTTCTTCTGCGCAACTTTCTTCCAACAAATGAACAGCACAATGAATATAGAACATTTACCATCATCAGGAGAATTCTAATTGCAGAGCAGTGTTAATCAGAACCCACTTGGTACCTATCTTACCAGGTAGGGGTAAGGTCTGCATACGCACTACCCTCCCCAGACCCCACTTGTGGAATTAGATTGGGTCTGTTGTTGTATGTACATAGTTCCAGCCATCTTGAGCCGGCATTCAAGTAGACAAGTCAATGAATGATAGAGAGTTAGTACAGTGTTGATGAAGCTTTTATATATTTTTTTGGCTTAAGAAATTTCCAGACTTTCAACTATTGGATTCGGAAAATTTTCTATTTGATAGGCAGTCATAGAGGATCTCAGGAAGGATCTGCACATATAGACTTCAATTAAGTGGAAGTGGCTTGTTAATCCACCGTGCGTGGGTCGTCTATCCCTGTCTTAAAGACGTAAAATTGCCAGGATCGAATCGTCTATGCTTACACGCATCTAGATATTACTGAACTGCATTAATACCAAAAATTCAGAACTTTCTGTTGACTAATGTGAATGTTGCACTCAGGAAAAAATGGATGGTGCAAATACTCCTATAAAAGATTCTCAGTTTGCAACAAAGGATCAATCAGCCTTTGGGTCCAAGCTGAAAACAAAATAATGTAAAGGTTTAACCTTGATGTAATGGCGAGTTATGCTCAAGGTCTAGCAACAGTAATTGTATGTGACAAATTTCAATATAGGAACTATCTCTACAAAGAATGATGATCTGGAAATGATAATACTTAAGTTACAAATTTTCAGGTTAGAATCAACATACTAACAAATACTAAGAGATATCTAGTGATAAGGTTTGCATGAAGATGATACACAAAATGACAGTTTAGGGGTCTAGACATGCCACAAGTTAAGTCTTAAAGCAAATTAAATAGCAGGAAGGAAAGGTTAGGCAAGGGTACGCTTGGTTAGAGTTACCCTGTACCTGTGTTGGTGGGAGGTAGTAGATATACGGTAGAATAGTTGAGTTGTACCCAAGCTGGCCCGGATACAACCATCATTTAAAAAAAGGGTACGCTTGGGTTAGAATTACCATGTACCTGTGCTGGTGGGAGGTAGTAGATATCCGGTAGAATAGTTGAGTTGTGCCCAAGCTGGCCCAAACACAACCGTCATTTAAAAAGAAGGGTATGCTTGGAATAATCAAAAAAGAAAAGAAGGGGTACGCATGGGTTAGATGAACAGAGAAAATTGAGAATATTGCTCTGACGGTTTCTTACTAGTACTATGTTTCTTGCTTTGTGTCTTCTCATCTGAGTCAGATACTTTAGTCAAGGAACAAGAAAAGGCACACTGCAGAATCCAGATACAAAGGAAAAACACTTTTGGCAGTAAAGTTCAAGGCTTTTAGGAAATAATTCCTTTTCCCAATTCCTTTTCAGAGCCGCGAAATATACAACTTTCTATACGAAAAGTTTCAAAAATTAAAGTCAAAAGCAAGTTACTAACTATGGTAACATCTATAGAATTCCATTACTTCTTAGAAACTAATTACCTCAAAAATAAATCTAACCTTTCAGACTTGCAAAACCCATAGACCTAAAAAAGTAAAGTATTCACAAATCATGGATTCACCTCGGCATATTGCCTATTACATGTCATAAAATACTTGCAATCAAATTTTCACATGTTCATAAAATCCGAATAAAATACATAAAAATCAGAAAAAATGAAAAAGAAAATAAAGTTATGAACTTTTATTAAATACCTGGCCAGGTGAGAAGAACCCATCAAGCAAACCACCTGGACTCAATCCAGGCGGTACAGTAAACGTCGTAGGCGACTGACTTATCACCAAACCCGTTGGCCTATTCTGCTTATACTCCTGTGCCGTCGCCGCCGTATATGGCGGAGGAACTGGCCGGAAACCCGGTCGAACGCTGGAAAAACCCGCCGGAGATGACATTGCACCGGCGAGAAGCTGAGAAAAAGAACGACAATCCGAATCCGGATCGTTATCTGAGAAGAAACTAGATACTAGGGTCATTGGACCCGGGCTAATACCACTTGACCCGACCGAAAATAAACTTTCCATTGAATTTCTCGGTGGTAAAGTTATTGTTGGACGTAGTAATTGAGCTCTTGACGTTGATGATGATGATGATGATCCTTCATTCTCAGCCATAGATTTTGATTACTTTTTTCTGTTTTTTTTTTTTTCCTTTGAAACAAAAATATCTGGAAAATTATAATATCATTTCTTGCTTGTTTTCGTTGGTTTTTCTTCTAGGTTTGTTGGAAAAGGGAGAGAGGTGGGGTGTTTGTGGGGGGGGGGGGGGGGTGAGGAGAAGATATGGGGATGGAAGTTTGTATACTGTCCAATTTGGAAAGAAGAAACAGAAAGGTGTTACAGGATCTGAACAAAACTGAGTAGAAACTAGAAAGTCCACGCTTTGCAGTTGCAGATACGAAAATGAAGGCTTTGCAGTTTTGCTGTTATTACCCTTTTTGCTCTTCCTTTTTCTATTTAAATATAATTATTATACCAGAATATACAAGTGAAACATAATATAAAAATTTGGGTTTTCTTGGGACAGTTTGTCTGATATTATTTTGGTGGTTACAAAGAATATATATTATAATATAATATAAGAAAATTAATTTAAAAAAGAACTTGATATAGTTTTGTCATAAATGATAAATATTACAGAGCAGTCCGATTGTATCCGATATATACTTTGAGGCTAGCCTAATAAAAGGGTCGAGTACAAAACCTCTAATCAAGAATGGAAAAGTACTCATTGGTTCATCATAACTTTTGGTGATATTTGTTTATACTAATTAATATAATTCAACTTATTATAATATGTTAGTTGTTTTATATTCTAGGTTGCTAATTTCCCTTTTAATGAATGGTTATAAATAGTTTTCTATTAAATCATTTGATAGTATGAAAATTAGTATATAAAAGCTTAACTCAAAAATAATATGATAAAATATTGTATGAGACAATTCCTTATGAGTTACGTTATTGATAATTCCTTATGACTCGCGACTTTAATACTATGATAATTATTTTTTTTTTTTTGAAAACTCCCTAAGAAACCTGAAGCCATTATCCTTCGAATGCGTACTAGGTAAGTTACTCACGGTGTAATAAATCACAAATTATGCAAAAAATATAAATTACATTAAGCAAACCCGTACGGCGAGCTCTGGGCGAGGAGATTGCCGATAAGGGATAACCGAATATGTTAAAAAAAGACAAAGTAACCAAAAACCAAACAAAATTGATTATGTTAGAAAAAGCTCTAGTTATCTGACAAAGAACAGAGAACATTATTGGAAGCAAGCTAGGTTCTATATAAAAATAAAAATATCACAGAAAATTCTAATCTGTCTTGCAAGTTTTGACAAGCAACAAAGAATATTTGAAGCAAAGACCTGTATACACGACATTAAGTATTAAGTAATTGGAATTAAAAAGTTTACTGTTGTATTAGATTTAATTTATTTAGGTTTTGCATGAATGAAAATCTATAATTATAAAAACAATTAGTACTTCCTCCGTTTCAAAATAAAATAAAATAAATATATTACTATTTGGTGAGCCAAATAAAAAATTTTACCAACTTTTTGCAATAGTTTCTAAATATTTCGAATTATTAACTATGTAATTTAGTAATACTTTTTAAGTAATTTTTAAATAAGTACATTTTCTTCAAAAATTTAAAGAATTTATATCCGATTGCACACCATAAAATTAGTTAATTTGCATCTCGTACTCCAAAAAAAAATCAAAAAAATTGAAATAAATGGGTTATAATTTAACTTAATTGGTAGAAATATGATCCGGATAGGACAGCCTAGATTCAAAGAATTCATGTTAGTGATTGTAACTAATTTAGGATGAACCACCAACGTATGTGATGCAGTAGATGGGACTGCTCCTCCCTTAACTAGAGGTCTCGGTTCGAGTTCTGGATATGGAAAATTCCTTGGTAGGGAGCGCTTCCCCCCGAATGGGGCCTTATGAGGCCCGAATTCGGATATAGTTGGACTCCAATGCGAGTATCGAATACCAGACGAGAAACAAAAAAACTAATTTAGGATGGGATAAATTGATTGATAGATTAATTTTCTTGGAAAATGATATATGGGATTTTCTTATTTTAAAATGTGGCATCAAAGTTGTAGCCCCGACGACTTAAGAGTTGCCGTGAAGCATAAGAGAATCTCGATAGACGAAAAACAGTCTGTATAATTTTGGCTACTAGTGGGCACGTTTTAGACTCTAATTTGGACATTTTGTTTGTGCTATTTTTTAAATACTTGGAGAATTTTACACCACATAGTTAAACTCAATTATTTTCTAAAAAATTTGACATCATTAATATTCTTAAGTACGAGGAAATTGCCAGTTTTCTCCATTTTATTCTTTGTTTACAATTCCTAATATGAGCTCTAGAATTAAATAGGATAGGAAATCACTTCTCTCCAAGGGAAAACTTAATACTAAAAGGTCATAATTCGAATTCAGATCCAAATAACCTCTTGAATTGACACCATGCAATAAGTTGTTACAAAATGTTAAAAAGTCAAGCAGATGAAATAAAGTTAATAAATTAATTTTTTTTTAATTATAAATGATACCATCCTTAATTCCATATTGAATTCTAGATATCTATATATAGACTGTTAATAGTAAAAATTCATTTTTGATCACGCTTAGAACATCTTTTTTTTTAATGCCTATGTAATAAGTTGAAATTCTATCTGGTAGGAAGCATTTTCCTTTGAATGGATTTTACGTGACGTAAATTTAAATTAGTCGAGAGCTCAATATGAGTATTGGACAACGAACAAAAAATAAAAATAAATATGATTTAGAAAAGGAAAAATGACTTTGCTACATTTGTCCTTCTCATGCCGATAGTTGGTCCCTCGCCCATGTTAAGTACTCATTCGCATTAACTATACTCTCTCCGGTTCACAATAAGTAATCAGTTTATTTTTTCATTTTGGTTCAAAATAAGTGTCTAGTTAGGTAATCAAGAAAAAATTCAATTTATTTTTACTCTTTTACCCTTATGTGCATATCCCTAAAAAGTTTTTTCACTCCTCACTATAACTACGTGACCAATATTTAATAAGGATAGTTTAGTCATACTAGATATTTTGTATAGGATTTAGCATTTTCTTAACGGACGTGCTAAAAGAAAACTTATCACTTATTGTAAACCGGAGGGAGTACTATTTAATTAAAGAAAAATTAACATCATCGGAAAAACACAGAAATGCAAAAGAAACGAAACATATTATTTACCAAAATAACCAATTCGTAGGAATGAAGACATTGTCGGTGAAGTGCAGGCATTGATTTCGTATAGGGAATTGTTAAAATTGTTTATTGTATAGTAGTTATTATATTTTGTCTATATATCTAAAATCAGTAAAAATATGACAAAGATTTTTGAAGTATTTAATGATGATAGATTTTTGTGGTGAAGGAAAGAAGTGGAAATGGCGTTGTCGTCAAGTTGTTGGCAAAAGGAAATGAAAAAATTGGAAAAATTATGGTTAGGGTTTCGGCGTGTAATTAAATACGGCAAATTTCCCTATTTGATCATGCAGTAAAACTCTTTTAAAAACCTAGGGAAACCAGAAAAGTATATTCATTAATTAAAATTTTTTAATACAAAATAAAGTTTCTTGAAAAAACACCAAGTGTTCTCCCCCCCCCCCCCC